TTGGTGTTTGGTTCTTACAGTTTTGATGATAACCTTTTAATTAGGGGAGGGGAAACTAATGTGTTTGGGAAAATCTGTGTTTTGTTTATAGACTGCTGTCTGCTCAGACGAGGTCTAGTTAGCCCTCCCTGATGCCAAGAGTTGCAACAAAGTGCACTATGCTTTTTTTCACATATCCTTTTCATTGCTGCTCTTCTTGCCAGTATTTAGCCATCCTAACAAATCAGTAGATCCTAGAGCATCATTTTCTTGTGGTGGTAAGGAACATATTTATATATATATATATACTGTATAAGTAATTAATAATTATTTTATGTTTTTTAAAAGCAAAATATAAATAAAGCCATAATTTGCATTTTCATAAAAGTAAACATACTTTATGAGTGGCAAACAACCTAAGAAATCTTGTACAAAAAGTCACACACAGTTAAAATTCTGGCTTCCATTTGGATTTGGAAATTGAGAATGAAATTTAACTCCTCTTGGAATCAATAGGAAATTTGTGAAGTCAGATTTTATATACGGGGGGTTTTAAAAATCAACTTTGCAAACTACTCCTAGGAAAATAAGATATGAACAAAATAAAAATAAAATAGTCAAAAAACCTGTCAAAACTTAAAAAACAGACACCTTGTTGCAATGTAGAAAAGAAAACTATTGAATTATTAAACACATTTCATTAATGTATTGATGGTTCATTCATCACCTTTTTGATGTAGGCATCAAAAAGGTGATGCCTATATGCCCAGAAGAAGCATCATTTCCATCAGTATGAATGGATCATGGAACCATGTTATGGGCCTCTCATTACATTATTCACAATGCAGTACATTTTGTACACCATGCCACAGTTTGTGGACAAAAAAGAAAATGTGACTGGGATGTATTTCTTAGCACAGAGACCCTCTCTAGGTGAGGCTCCAGCTAGACTGAGATGCCTGATGCAGAGGATGGAAGTTTGGGACAGAGAGAAAGAGGAAAAAACCATAGAAACAGGATCATTTAGGTTGGAAAAGACCTGTTAAATGAAAAGGTCTGCAGAAGGTGCAGGCAGCCAAACAGGCATGGCAAAGCTTTAGATTGTCTGGTTTTTAGGATATACAGTTCTGTTACACTGCTGCTAATTGTCTAGTTTCAGTGTCTGGCTGAAAGAAAGAAATAATTAAAATTAAAGAAATAATTAAAATAATTAAAATTGTAAGGGTTGATTTAGTGTTTGTAGATTTTAATACATATCACTGTCTGATCCTCACAAAAGCTCAGTGTCCTGTTCAGATGTGGGTATTATCTCAGATCTGTCTTTTCTGTGAACTTTTGTAGTGTGTTGACTTTTAAGAGTCGGCTCAGGCACTACAAATGGAGCAGAAGAAATTGCAAGTTTAATTTTCTTCCAAATATTTTATGTCATATTTCAATGGGTGAACATGTCTTGCAATAAAATTGTTTCAGTATTCCCAACTAACAGAAAAAACAGCCTCATGAACATTGTTTAGAGTCTGCTTCTGGTTAAAAATATAAGCATCTGCTCAAAAATTTGTAGGCACATTTGAGACCTTGATTTTATACTTCACTGATGTAATTTTAGGTGGAAGTTGCTCATTAATGATTAATAATCACTGATCTTGAATAGTAATATTTTCAACAGTATGATTTTCCAGAGAAATAATTTGCAAAACCAGATAATGCTCCCATTTCCTGGTGCAGCCCGCCCTTAGCAATAATGTTGCCACGGAAACAGCAAAACTCTGATCCAGTGAAAGAACAGGAGTGAGGATGAAAGGGAGATGGGGGCAATTTATAGTTTTTTGGGGTTTTTGGGGTTTTTTTTAATAAATTAACTAGAATTTGTTAGAATAGTTTTGGTTTCAGGTTGTGTTATTTTTGGGAAAGGGGGTGTTTTCCTTGATTTTGGGTTGGTTGGTTGGTTTTTCTGTGATGGGAAGATGGCACCCTTTACCTACATGCCTTCAGGTTTTTTTGCATAGGACAGTAAGCTGAGGTTGAACTCATTATGGAAAAAAACCCTAAGTGATGTGAGCCCAGTCCATGCTTTAATTCCTGAAAAATGTTATGAAGTAGAGGTATATAGTCCTGCCACTGAACAGGAAGTACAGTGCCTTTCAATAATTCTTGCCCCCCTTGAAAACACAGTAGGATGTAACTGGGCTCTGTGTGCAGGTAGATCAGAGAAACAGAGGAATACAGAATATGATATGTTAAGTATGTACAAACAGAACATATAGAATTATTTGGCAATTTAGTTTTTAAAATTAAAATTCTTGATTCTTAAGAAGGTTAGATCATAATGCCTTTTAGCTTATCCTGATGTTATCTTGCTTTTCTTTTAACTACACCATCTAAGCTTGCCGCACATAAAGAAGGCTGAATTAGGCTGATTAATAAATACATGGGTAAGAGATTTCTGATATAAGTCTATCTTGTGTTGTGCAAAGAATGCTGATATTTTCTTAATTATCCAACGAAGAAATGTCCCCACAGGATATTAGAAATCATTGTATTATAGAAATGCCAAATTTTTATTTGAGGAATTGACCATTTTTTAATATTGAAGATTCACCAGGAACATTTACTAAAGCAGATCATTAACACTTGTGTCCATCATATTACAATGTAAGGAATAGCATCCTGTTTGCTGATGGCTTAATGTTACATCACACCAATACTAATTGTTTAGGACTTGTCATAAGGAGGAATGTTAACTATGATGCTCTATGGCTATGTTTTGTGAAGTATTAAAACTCTTAGCAACATCTATATTTATGCTTGTCTGACAGTCAGTGTTTCTTATAACTTTGCTAACCTAAATTCCATTTGGAGGGTGTTTTTGGTCCAAAGTTAAGGTCTTTCTCATTTGTCCCAAATTCAGTTTAGCCTGCAAACAATTTTACTGCTACCGGGCGACAACTCTGAAAACGCAATATTTTAGCAGAATTTCAACAGTTTCTAGCACTTATTTGTTGTAGAGTACATACTTAACCACAGTGTGTTACTGGAATGAGGTATTTTTGCCAACTCTGATCATATGTTTAATATTTCTCTGAATATGATCACTGAAAATCAAACCTTTGCATTCTGTAAAGTTTCTTACTATAGGTTGGGGAACATAGTGGTGGTATTTCCTGTGTTTCCTCTCTATGGTGGTCACATCATCCTGTGTGGTTTGGTTTGTGTATTGGCAATATCTCCTACATTTGCAGCAATTTAAAACCATTTAAACCTCGGCAAAATGTACGTTCTCTAATCATGCCCCCACATAATTTCTTTTCTTACCCTTTGTTGTTGATAAAAATTAGTATCTTCTGACATACAGGCTGCAGAGGTAGCTTGGATATAGAAGTAACAAGGTGGCAGCTAAGAATAAGCCCCTAAGAGCGACTTGGTGAAAGAAAAGGACATGAAACAAGAACTGAATTAAAGCTGAAAAAAACAACAGGAAAAAAGATCAAAAAAGAAAGAAGGGTCTAAGAGTCAAAATTGCCAGTACTTTGAAAGAAATGCTGCATTTTGTCAGAGGCAGTGTACACCCCATCAGTGTGTATGTATTTCTAGGGTTGCATACTATTTTTCATTTTCTGACATTGAATTTCCACCTGCCATTTTACTACTGCGTCGACAAAGGAGTAATTGTTCCATGGCCATTTATTAATCATTTTGTGGTGTCTGGCTCACAGGCCTGCAAAAAGAAAAAAGAAAAAAAAGGCTCATTTTCAACCTGGTTGAAATTCAACGTGCTGACTTAGCACAGGTTGCTCAATAGAAGTAAGAAAAAACCAGTGCTCTGAATGTCTTGCTGTCTTGCAAGATAATAGTAGCAACAAGCTTGTTTAAGGCAGGCATGGTAAAGTCAGTGTGCAAACTCCAGACACAGTGCTGGAAATACAGAAGACATTATAAATGCTCTGGCAATAGCTAGAATGAGCTAGATCCTAATTTATATTGCAGTTTATGCCTATTACACAGTCTCCTAATTTCACTCATTATTTCCTGCAGCTGGATTTGAACCTGCTGCCTGCAGGGCAAAATTATGTACTGTTTCTAGTCCCTGGAACTATAAAAGGCACGGTTTTGAAATGTTCAGGTCTCCTACCCTAGGACTGGACTTGTAAGGGAGACAGTTTCCTGATCAGACACTGAAATAGGCACTGGATTTCAAGCGCTGGGTAACTCAGTGGCTTCTACTCCTCTGCAGTGTCTAATGTCAGATTTAGAGTAGAGCTCTGCGTCCAATGGATGCCTTGCAAGCATTTCTCTATCCACTGAAAGTTTCAAAATTAGACCTTTTGCTGGTGGTCTAGGAAGCTTTCATCCTCTAGCTTTCCCTTTGCCTACCATTCCCTGGAGTGATGATCATACTGTCTTTAAATATCTACTGTGCTAACAGGGTAAATAAGGGAGAAATAAGTATATGCAATTTTTTTTCAAGGAGAGCTTTGGGTTTGTTTTTGTGGTTAGTTTTATGGGAGGGTTTGTTGATTGGGTGGGTTTTTTGTTTGGATTTTGTTTGTTTGTTTGTTGTGGGGTTTTTTGTTTCTTTGTTTTGTTTTGTTTTTGTCAGAGGTCTCTGAAGACAAACCTGTAAAATCTGTGAATCTGCGGGTGCACAGAGAGCAATCGAATATCAAACGAAATGTGCACATTCATGTTCCTATGCTGGATGTAAATGAATTGGCTGAATGAACGCAGTCGGGGAGAAACAGAGATCTGGCTCCGGTGTTTTCCTCACCTGCTACTCCTGTGGACACCCCAGGCATTTCTCTGGCAACACCCTGTCTTCCGCAGGGGCTTCACGACCCATTCCCATCTGCTGACACGCCGGCTTCATTTTCTGGCGTTGCAGCAAAAAAGGTGCCGCCTGTGCTGGAAATGGGATCTTCCACTATTTAGCAAGGCTTTGCTGAATGAGTCATCAAAGCCGGCTGGTATTGGCTGGGCTGGTGAGCACCCAAGGGATTGCCTGGCAGCGGCTGCGAGGCCTCGCTTCATTCACAGAAATGTGGGGATGCTAGCCAGCCCTTTCATTCACTCGCGCGGCATCTCATTCACATTTTGCAGTCCTGCTGGCCGCTTCTAATGAAGAGAGCCGTTCGGGAGCAGTAGGGTTTTCTGGGCAGTAGAGACACGTAAAAATAGGCTATCGTGTGTATATTTGCTGTTGCTGTGCTAGGAGGATGACGAGAGGAATGAATGCTGTGAGGATGCTGTAGCAGGTTTGCAGCGTGGTGATGAAAGGCTCTTCTGCAGATCAGTAGAAAACTGCTTTACATTGACTAGGACATTGCCATTATTCATCACTGCTGGGATAAGAGGTGCTGACTTAATTCAGTATGTCATGAATATACTAATTAAATACCTGTATTTAAGCCGGCTGTTCCACTATGTTTGCAGTTTGTACACTGCAGCCTTTAGTCGTGGGAGAAGGAAGGAATTCCATAGACTTTTTTTCCTTTAAGATGTGCTGCAGTTAGTAATTTATTTTAAAAATTTGCACTATGCAACTTCTCTGGTCTGAATTTGTTTGTAATGCAGTGTGTTGTCCTACATTAAAAAAATGTTCGCAAAGCAGATTAATTTATAGGAAAAAGCCATATGACTTGTGATGGGCACTGTATATCACAATGCTGTACACATTTGGATTTCTAAAGAAATTGCAGGAGGAATGAAATACCTGTTTTCTGCATGTTTTGCTACTTCTCCAGATCAAGTGTTTGTGACTGACATTCATTCTTAATAAAGGCTTTTTTTTTTTTCCTCACTGCAGGGTGTCAGTTTGCTGCTACCTGGACTTTTTAATATTCTTTCAGGGTTTTTTCAGTTTTTCAGAATTGAACCAAACATTCCAGTGAATTGAAGACCCTCTTCATGTCTTTCTCCAGACTGAAAATCAGTTGTGAAAGAAAAAACGTCTATTAAGCCTGTTTTTGGACATCAGAAAAATACTTTTCTTCACACATAGGTACTTACATAATTCCTGCATTAAAATAGAATGCTCTTGTGAAGTAACAGGGAAGAAGGATTTATTTCTCTGTTAAAATTTGAATACAACAGTTTCTGTGAGGGACAGCATTGACAAAAAGGCACTGTTAGGCTGCTTTTGTGGAAAAAATGTATATATTCTTCAGTTCTGTTCATCTGTTTTGAAAACCTTTAAGGTGTCTGTGTTCTGCTGCAGGGGCAGGAGAGGGGGATTATATGTATGCAAATATTATCCAGATATTTGCTGTCTAATCGTGATTTCTTTAAAGATTCACAAATATGTGAGGTGGAAGAACATTTTAACAGATGAATAAAGTGTGGTGTTTCATGAAGGCTATTAATTCAGTTTTAAAGGTAATTGCCTTTGGTACTAAAAGGGTGGTGGGAGGGGATAGGAATTAAAGGTTGGGAGGAAGTATCTGTTTGAGAAGATAGGAAAAGGGAATTTGAGAATTGATTGGTGCTAGTGTGCTGTAAGTGGGTGGATGTGGTTTTTTTTTTCTTCTCTCTCCTTTTTTTTTGGCTACAGGAAGTGATTTGCAGTGTTCACAGCCTTTTGTTGAAAAGGGTCCTTCTCATTTGTGTGAGTCATGCTTTTGCTGTGAGCGAGTTGGCAGCTCTAAGCAGGACTGAGATCTCAGTCACAGAAAACTGTTACTTCACCCAACCTTAACAAGGAACCAAAAGAAATTTCTTAAATATATACAGTTTTTCATTTTTCCTTGTACTCTTTTTCTTTTTTACCCTAAACTCTTGTTAACCCTCCGTGCCGTTATGAATTGCTTGCTATGTTAGTGCAGGCATCTCCTGCATTGGCATCAGATTTGCCAGAACATATGCAGGAAAGCAGATAGAAGGGCATGCTTCAACGTACCAAGTATAACCGCTTCAGGAATGATTCTGTGACATCTGTTGATGATCTTATTCACAATTTGCCCATGAACAGCAAGGTCTCAGCAGTTGCTACAACTTCAGCTTCACCTTCATACCTGGTCTCGCCAGAGGTTCTCCGCAAGGACCAAGAAGATGGACCCAGCACCCTGTGTACCCTCATCCATAAAGTGTCCCACTTGAAACTCTCTAGCACGGGCAGCCTTTTGGGTATCAAAAACCTCTCCTCTGCAGTAAAGGAGCTTGCTGTCTCCAAATTGCAGGGAAGCTCGAGTGCTTCTAGTTCAGCAGCAGGGGCTTCAGACAACACATGTAACCTTCTCTCTGCCACTTCGTGTTCTCAGCAGGACGTGAGCAAGATGAGTATGGGGAAAAAAGCACGGTCAGAGGAAATGCACCTGGGAAGTGAAGATTGGAATCAAACTAGCAGTTTTGTCAATAAATCCTCTCGAGGATGGCTGCACTCGAGTGAGAAGATCCTGGGACCTGGTGTGACGTACATTGTGAAGGTTGGTCTGTTTTCTTCCATTCTCTGTTTTTATCAATGAAAAATTCTCTGTTGGTTTTGCTGACAGGATAGTCAGGCTGAAAGGATCTCTATTTGTACTTTTTTTTTTTTTTTTGGTGCATAATACATTAAATGTAAATGCAGGAAGGAAGGGTTGGGAAGCTGTGTTAATTTGTTACATTAAAGCAAACCTGCAAATATTGTTCTACAGCTGTATAAAAATCTTGTTCTTAAGATAAAAGCTGATTTGATCTGGGTTTTTTAGCCTTCTTCTGAATTTAGGTTTTCACTGTTATCTAGCATACTGTATATATCTTGGATACGTAGGCTTTCAATATGTCTGGTGCAATATACAGGAGGAAAGACAGACTCCTTGATGTGAGGAGAGCTGTTAATCATGCATGAATTTTTCAGTTTTAAGCACCTCTAAGGGCAAGTGTTTTTTTAAAGTGAAATGATATTTGAAATCTTAGAGCAGTAAGGCAGGGAGCACATTCTTATTCTGTTTCACAATTTGTTGTGGGCAGAGCAGGAAAATGCAGCTTGTTTTACATAATGAGCATTCAGCCACTTTAAGTGTTATTGCTCTTTTCAGTTCATTGATACAGCATGTCAAGAGCAGAGGATCTTAAGTTTATAGGGTAAACTTAATGTTTCTATATGCTTTGAAAATATTTTGAAACCACCTGTTAAAGTAGAGCCATCAAGATAAGTGTATGTGCAATGCTTTTTGTAGTTAGGCAAGAGTCTGGTAACACCTTTCAGCATAGTGTGCAGAAAGTATAAAAATGACATTATTGTCCAGAATTCATTCTTCAGTTGCCATATTTCATTTGCCAAGAGGCTTTTGTATCTTAAGTGTTAAACTGTTTTGCAGCAGGCTATTAATATTACAGGTCTATTTTTAGTGTCATCTTTTTTTAGGTGTAAGAGTCACAGGTGACTTTATTTCAGGATGCTTTAAAACTGAGTGACAGCCTTGTTACTTAACTCTCACTGCTTTTTCTCAAGTCTTATTATCAAAAGCAGAGTGCATTTTTAGCTGTTGGGAGACTAGGAAGCAGTTTTCATTTCTTTGTGTTAGTGGTGATAATAGATTTAGCAGGTGGTGGTAGATTGAGTAAGTTGGCCAATTCAGAGCACTATTGAAATTGTACTGTCTTTTTTACCACTCTGAAATTTACTGGTTCTACAAAGGAGTCAGTGCTACCTTTCAAGCCACAAACTGCTGTTGTGTTACTCTTCAAGAAATGTCTCAGTAAAAAAAACCCCACTGATGCTAGACATAGTGGTCTTGAGACTCTGATGTCCTTCTGCACAGAAATACTCTGGTTAACAAAAGGTCATTTACCATTTTCACATTAGCTCAGGCAACTCAAACATTTTAGTTTTTATTTTGCATGGATAGTACAAGCCAAATAATAACTGTGTGTATACACTACTGCTGTTAGTTTTACCTGAAGTGATCATTATGAAAAAGAACACGCACAGCATTGAATTTCTTAATCCATTCAGCAGTTTACCTACTATATGCTAGAGGAAGCTGATATCTTTGAATTGAAAAGAGAATTAAGTTATACAGAAGTAGACTAATATTTACAGTTAGTAATTTACCCATACCTAACTGAGATAATAGAATGAATATTAATTAGTGCAATTGATGTTTGGTACATGAAAGTGTATTTATACACACTGTGTATATCAGAATTTTCAAAATCAATCAAACAACTTACTTTTAGGTGTTTGTTAGTAGTCTATTAGTCATCAAAATATATGAAATTTAGTTTATTCTTTCTGTTAAAAAAATAGGATGATTACTTTAACTTTATGGTTTCTGGCATAAGAATCACAGAACAGTCCTCTAAATGTAAAAACAAAGATTGAAAATAGATACCAAAATAAGTGGTTAATGAATGAATGAATGAAAGTAAACTGGTCCTGATTAGTTCCTAATTTGCCTGCTTATTAACTATCTCAGTTTTCCTTGGCAACTGCAGCATTCATATGGATAAGAATAGAAGTGCAGTTCCCAAATCCTTAGACATTGTTTGCTACCAAGGCTTTTATCCAATCAGACCATCAAATCAATACACAGATAATGTATACTGAGGGGAAACATTCCTTGGATACCTCATGGCTATACTGACTGTCTGGGGGACTCGTACCATGTTTAATTAGTACCATATGCCTTTCAGAAAATTCCATATGCCATTTGTTAAATGAGACAAAAATTTGATTTGTTGTTAACCAGCAAAGCCTTTTTTTTTTTGGGCAAATGTGCACTGGGTTACAATTTTCTCATTAATCCACATTTAAAAGAGAAAATTTGTCATGGGACGGAATTAGTTGTAACTACTGGGCAGTTTGATAGCTCACATTGGAATCTTCTGAAGCAAGAGACGCAAAATTCTTATGTGCAATATATGAAAAATCTGAAATTTCACTGCTGTTCCCACATTTTTGCATATTACTCATTTTAAAAATAGGCAGTGTAACTCTAATGCTTAAAAAGGGTGCAGGTTTGTGGTAAACTGTAGCTATATTCTGATCTCCGTGGTCTGCTGCAATGGAATTGTTTTCAACCATAAAAGTGCTGATGCTTTCTCAATCTTTTACTCCCTGTGAATTTCCTGTTGCATTTTTATATGTTATAACATAAAATGTTTCACAAAAGCAACCTCAAAAAGCATTTTAGCAACAAATTAGACAATGACCATAACCATACTGGGGATATAAAGTAGTCAGGTACTGATATCATACTTAATACTACTGCTGGACTGTTTAACAAATAATGAATTAATGAAAAAAAAAGAAGGCAGTAGTTTGCTGTGCTGGAAGTCTTTAAAGAGCCCAGTGCTTTCCCTATAGTGGGACTGATTACTGCAGGAAGAGATTATATGTCTTCATGTTGTCAGAAAAACAAAGGCATAGAATAAAAACAGTGTAAAAAAACCTGAGTAATGCAACAACAGTTAAATGTTTCAGTGTATTCTGTTGTTTCAAATGATAAATGTCTACTTATGAGTATCACTGGCTAATATTATAGACATTTTGGAGTTTGTTTTATTTAAATTTGAGCACAAAAGTCAAGAGGCAAATGCATTTTTGTCTTCAGGTAACTTGTGGCTGGATTTTGTAACAAGTGTCAATGAGTTTAAAATACTGTTGTTCAACAGTTCAAAACCAAATAAACCCAAAATACTGTAAAATTTTATATATCTATATGAAGTGTATCTAAAAAAGCCAGTAAGACTTAAAGCCAACACAGTAGTATAGAACAGACCTGAGTAAATCTAGTGTTAAAAACCAGATAGAAATATAGTATCTAAGAGAGAGGAAGGAAGAACTATTTCATCCAAAAGAATCACTGCAAGTTAGGCAAATAATATTTCAATAAAAAGGACATTAAATTATTATTATATTTCAATATAAAGGACATTATTCTTATTATAGCAAAGTATTCAAAGAATATAATCCTAACTGATATTATTTCTTACATATTCTAACACTTTTCATTCTTTGTGAGGAAATAACAACAGTTTATATCTGATGTGGAAAACAGACATCATTGTGAAGCTGAAACACACCACCAAGTAAAGGCTACAGTTCTGCAAGCATTCCTGCATGACACTGTTTACGGGAGCATTCTCATTGAAATAATTGAGGGTACCTTTCTACACTGGAAGTTAAGTGTGCTCAGGGATGAACTGAATTGCTGAGTCTCTTTAGTGGCTAACCCAGACTGCAAAGCACAGCCTTAAATGGAGCTAACAGAGTGGAAACTGCATCATATGTCGCCTTCCCCTAGAATACTTCAGGGCTCTTTGGAAAAATGTTTCTCTTTTTATTTTTTTTCCCTTTCTGTTGTAGCCAGAATTGATTTGCTCTCACTAAAAAAAACCCAAAAAACATTACAGCAAAGCTTTTTCATTTCTCTTTTTGGTTAAAATTATCTTCTTTATAGAAAAAAAAATTGCAAGTTTGTTTGTTTCCTTTAACTTAATTTCAACTTTTGTCAATCAAATTGAGGTGATGCTGTTGGTTAATCACTGATCATTTGTCATGGCCTGACTAAAAACCGCAAACCACAGTCCTAGAGCATCCTGTTTGTAATAAGGTTTACATGTTTAAGAAATGTGTTGTGTGTTTCAACCATATGGTAATAATAGGATAGAACACTGACTTTTTACTTCAGAGTCTGCTAGCCTCAACCCGGGTACACAAACAGTGCTAACAAAGACTAATGAAACTGGCTTATCACTGTGGGTTTTAAAGCTGCATGCATGCAGATTAGGGGAGAGAGAAGTAAGTGACAAATACAGCGTTGGTTTAAGTAATTAATCCTTCCTGTTTTACCATATTCCTGAGAGATCAGTTAGTATCCTTTCCATTTTCCTTCACTGTTATTCCAACTATGAAAGAAGGATGTTGATGCCTGTTGCTCTGCTGAAAACCTTTCTTTTGATCTTCATGGGCCTGAACTACTGTGGGTCTGTTGTACAGCCCAATAATAGGAAAAGAGCATTTCTCACAGAAATTACATCAGATTCTATGAGCAGAAATCAGAGAGTCTTTAATTATAATATTATTCTAATTACATGAATCAAGTACTATTACTGTACATTTGCACCCCCTTTTCCTTTCTGCAGAAGGCAAAGCATGTATTGATTTCAGAGTTGAAGGATTCAGCTGTCAACATGAATGTCTGTTCTCCAGTACATTCGGACTGTTTGCATGGAGTATTTTTGATTAAAACAAAAATTATACTCTTACTAGTTATTTATCCTGCTAGTTATGTATGTCCTACAGTTTTAAAATCCCTAGATGAATTTAGCTGGTCAGTGTAGGAGGTAAAATTGCATTCAGGCAGAATTCCTTCTCTGTTTTTCCTTGGAAATTGGACTGTTTGTTTCTTTATTTGTCTTCCAACAATGTTTATAGTAAGAATATCATGTGCCCAATGTAAATATCTGCCATTACAAACACAAAGAGAAAACACAG